GATAACAATAATCCGTGGGAATGGGAAAATATCCGCGTCGCACACGTTTTTGCGCAACTGAACACTCCCTGTCCTTTCTGTTCTCTTCATTTAGTTCCACCTCTCTCTCTCCCTCTCCAGCAAGAAAAGTCATTCACATTTCGATTACAATCAAAGGCACAAGGGAGAAGAAAGATGAGAAGCACTGAGGCAAAACTAGCATCTGGCCCAGATCATCACCAAGATGGCCGCAGGGTAGGAAAAATGCATTTAAACATATTTATACAAGTATATATATATAGAAAGTGGAGCTCATGGTTAGCAAAGTGTGGCAGAACAGCTCATGGACCAGCAATTCATTGCCCTCTCCTCTTTCTTTCTTTTCTACATAGACTTCCTTTGCAAAAGTAGGAGTTGGCAACCCTGTTTTGTGGCAGAGTGCATATTGCAACACACAAGTCCTTGCTGAACCAGCACTTCCACCTCAGTACTACAGGCACTTTTTGCTAGTCTTCCCAAGGACCTATACATCTTTCCCATCACAGCAGGTGCTTGACAATAAGGAAGTAACATCAAGACTCCTGCATCTTCTTCATATAGTGTTTGAAATTTTGTAAGATCTGTAAAATTTTCTCTTGTTATTGGTGGAAATTATGTGATATAATTCCCCGATATATATTGCAAGAATATTTGCTGACAAGCAAATATAAATACTTGGTGTTATTCATAACACCAGGATGAGATAATAGATTAATATATAAAATATATTAATATTCTTCCATCCCAGTACATGTGGACTGACAGACACAGACTGACAGACATGTGCACGGACCCCCAAAGACTGACAGACATGTGCACAGACCCCCAAAGACTGACAGACATGTGCATGGACCCCCAACGACACGCACATAGCAACCCCAGTGCATGGCAACCCCATAACTGCGTAGTAACTCCTGGCGTGTGCAAGTCATAAAAAGACACCTCCACACGTGCACACAGGTGTCCTACTCCCCTTCCCAATTATACCCCCAAATCCTTGGTATATAAACCCCTGGTCAGATTAGGAAAGGCAGGTAGTTGGCACAGGAGGCTGCTAGTGCAATAGGCATTTTAGCTCAGGAGACAGTTCAGTTCAGAAGTCATCTTATCCCAATAGATCCCTGTGTCTTGTGGTTAAATAATGTGTGTATACTGCGCATTTGAATAAAGACTATTTTTGTCTGG